CTTGAAATAATTTTTTTAATCTGAAAAATGAGCATAGTAACAGCATAGAGAAAAACAGGAACAAAAACAGAAACATTTTTTACAGTATATTGTGTATTTTGTTAATCCAGATATGTGAAAAGAAGATAGATCCCGACCCCGCTTTTTACTGACACCCTCCAGGAAGTGACTGATCACAAAAAAAGTTGATAAATTAAAGTGTACACTAGTCACCATGACGACAGCTTTCAAAATATAAACTATCCCACTTCACCTAGATCGATGTGCTGCACTTGTGGGAATTCAACACACAATAAGGCAATGATAAGTTAATAATGATTTTCTTTATACATTATCTAGCTGGTTGAAATAATGACTGCCGCAGACTCCTAGGTAGTCTGCTACACAGCCGTTTTTAGTGTCGTCACGCAACGCTCCTCCCCACTAACGGCTGCTGAAAACCGAACTACATTCCTTTCCCGTGATTAGCCAAATATAATTCAGCTCCCATTTTCTGGAAGGTGTTCGCGCCACCTTTGCGGTACTGTGACTCCTCCAATCACAGCTTTGCTTTTATCGTTGTCCCATGTGTAGAGCATAGCGTTGTGTAATAAACATAAGTTGTGCAACCTGATTTTAAGGTATCCATTTTATTCACAACCGTTTGGGGATACCAATATGGCGGATGTGACGTCATGTCTGTTTATATCTCTCTCTCTCAGGAAAAACCTATGACTATTAGAGTGCCAACAGAAATTGTCGTTTATGTCGTTGTTTTCAGGAGCTCTATTTGAGTTCCAGCAAACTAAAATCACGGTGGACGAAGGTCTAGGTTATGATGCAACACTGACTTTTTACGTATTTAAATATGGAGATATCGACCTTGGTGCTGAAATCAGGTGAGAGAACAATGATGATTGAACAGCTATCCTTGTGGTAGCCTGCGTCGCAGACGTAATTTAACCCCGGTTAGTAACGTTTGAGAAGCAAAATCCTTGTTCTGGGCCCCCAATGGACTCAAAGAATTACCAGAAAT